TTGTTGTTTATCTTTTTATATATAGTAGTGTGTATCTGCTAGTCCGAAACTCCTAATTTATCCCTCCCTCTCCAAATTATTTTTGATTGAGTAATGCCAATAGCACGAAATTCAACAGGCACAGAAGGGTATCCTGTGAAAAGTAAATACGCATTCTGTCTGTTTCTCTAGTTTTTCTTCTCCGAAGCAAGCAGTGTTAATGATTTCTTAGTGATCCCTACAGAGATTGTATATATGTGTGTGTGTGTGTGTGTATGCTATTTTTATAAGGAAATGCATGTGTATATGGCTCTTATGTTTGTACATGTGAACAGGTGAGTCTGTGGATGCGTATAGTTACATATGACATACACATTTTTAAAAACTAAATGGCAATATAATATATTGTTCTCTTGCTTTCCTTTAACTTTTTGAGCTAACTATAGATGCACATGCAGGTGTGGGAAGTAATACAGAGAGATTCCATATACCCTTCACCCAGTTTCCCCCAGTGGTAACCACTTGCCTAACCACAGTATGGTGTCCCCACAAGAAACTTGACATTGACACAATCCACCAACCTTGTTCAGATTTCTCCAGTGTTATGTACAGTCATTTGTGTGTGTGTGTGTTTTACTAGACTATTTTACTAGACTATTTTAAACATGATGAATTCAATTGGCCTGAATATCAAAAATAAAAATGAAAAAAGATGAATCTGAGTATTGGGGTGTGTAGAGATGAGTTCGGTGTCGACTGACCAGAAATCTATACCCATTCTCAACAGTGCATCATTACCAATTATATATATGGGTGTGAATATATTTTTTAAAATGAGCTCTCTCAGATTAAGCAATTTAAAAATCTGAGCTACCCTAGGTTATGTCAAGAGGCCAAAGTTCTGGATATCTTTTTGAAACCCCTTAATGAAGCAATCAAACTGGAATTTGGATCAAAATCCTACAAGCTGCACACAGTTATCTGATTGGATTGCTACTGATTCAATGAGTTATTTTCTGAACTTCAGAATACTATCTTATGAGAAAAAAAATGATGGAAGCATCCTTATTCGTTATTTCTTTCACTGACTCAGAACTGACAAATACATCTGACACTATTTCTGATATGGTTTGTGTTCTAGACCTACTGTGTCTTGCATTGGAGTGTTTTACATAAATGTTTTGAAAACGTTCATACGATCATAAAGTTATAATTGCAAAAAAATGTATCTTTAATGCATGTCTGTGGCCTCTTGGGTGCAGCCCCCCGTGCAGTGCAGTAGTAGGTGGTGCAGATTTCTTTATCACACATTTCACTCTAACGTGGTCTCTAGGATTTAGGTGTCTATCATGGGTAGAAAAGGGAGCAACCTTTCAGCACAGGACAGAGGCAGTAGGAGATGACCCGAACCTGAACTGTTTGGAGAGAAGAGTTTGCATAATCAAGTGGAGATAATTGCCTGAGATTTATCATTTTAAATGTCTTTTTACACTCAAGTGTCTGTTTGAACAAAACTTAAGTTGAACAAAGCAATTAGCATTGAAACTTGTATTTCAATTGAAACTTGTATTTATATCATTTGTGCACACCTGTGCAGATCCCCAGTTTGCAATTCAAAATCATGTCTAGTTGCATTGTCATAACCCCTTTTTAAATTTCAAACAGATGGTTAAGAACTGGATTTCTCATTTGGGGTCAAGAAATAAGAGATAGGATTTGGGAGTCCCTAAGAGTACTCTGTTTTGCTTTTGGTAGGTAGTGGAGACATATGTATCAATTTTCTTCTAAGGATGCTTTAGCCAGCTTGTTTCTGGTAGAAATTAAGGTGAGTAACACATTCAGAAAGCAAGGTGAATTTTTTCAAAATTATTTATTGAAGTGTAGTTGATTTACAATGTTAGTTTCAGGTTTATAGTGAAGCAATTCAGTTATACACACATATATATTTTTTTCAGATTCTTTTCCATTATATGTCATTATTGGAAATTGAGTGTAGTTCCCTGTACTATATAGTCGGTCCTCATTGTTTACCTATTTTGTATATAGTAATATGTACCTGTTAATCCCAAATTCCTAATTTATCCCTCCCCCACCATACCAGCCATAGTTTATTTTCTATGTCTGTGAGTCTGTTTTTGGTTTATAAATAGAATTTGTGTAATTTTTTTAAGATTCCACATATAAGTGATATCATATGATAGCTGTCTTTCTCTGTCTGACTTACTTCACTTAATATGATAATCTCTAGGTCTATCAATGTTGCTGCAAATGGCATTATTTCATTCTTTTTCATGGCTGAATAATATTCCATTTTGTAAATATACCACATCTTCTCTATTCAGTTATCTGTCGATGGACATTTAGGTTGTTTCCATGTCTTGGCTGTTGTAAATAGTGCTGCCATGAACATTGGGGTGCATGTATCTTTTCAAATTATGGTTTTCTCTGGATATATGTCCAGGAGTGGGATTGCTGGATCATATGGTAAGTCTATTTTTAGTTTTCTGAGGAATCTCGATACTGTTCTCCATAATGGCTGCACCAAACTACATTCCTACCAACAGTGTAGGAGGGCTCCCTTTTCTCCACACCCTCTCCAGCAGTTATTGTTTGTGGACTTTTTAATGATGGACATTCTGACTGGTGTGAGGTGATACCTCACTGTAGTTTTGATTTGCATTTCTCTGATAATTAGCAATTTTGAGCATCTTTTCATGTGCTTGTTGGCAAAGTGGATTTTTAAACATCAAAAATTAATTAAATTATTTAGAATGATGCCAGATGAAACGTAAGCATCCAAGACCGCTGGCATGTCCCCGCCCGGGCAGGGCAGGGCAGGCAGTCTGAATTTACATAAGGCTCAGAAGCACTTGAATCCAGATACATCCCAGCTGGACACATCGCACAGTGCTCTGTGCCTACTGCCCCAGGGGAAGGTTTCCAAGGAAGCAGAGAAATGTCACGCTGCCTGTAGAGGGAAGGAAGGGCTTCTCTCCGGAGGAGCAGTTCTAGCTCCTGGGAAGGGAGAAGGTGGTGGAAGGGGCTTGGCTCTGGCACTCACTGTAGCGAGAGCGGAGCTCACCTGCACCTTTCCCAGCCTCTCCCTTCCTGGTACCCCTGCGTGTGTTAGAGCCAGACTGTGCTCCTTCTTTCTCTCTTTGAACTTGATCTCTGCAGCTGATAGATTTCCTTGTGCGCTGAGTGTTTCACAACCACCACCAAAGATCTGTAAGAGGCAGACTGCTTGGGAACTGTTGATCGTCAAGGGTATACTTGGGGTAAGAGATGGTCAGGCCCTTTCCGTTTGCTTTCACTCTCCTCCTCTTCCCTCTGAGTTAAGATAAAATCTCTTCCTGGGGTTTAATGAATCACTCTAAAGCTTAGAAAATCAGCAGCAGTCATTCAGCTCTGATTTAAGAAAAAAGGGCAGAGTGAATGGTTTCCTAGAGATTCAGATCCCCCTCCATCCCCCGTTCACTTTGTACTAACAGAGCTGTGTCATCATCACCCCTACCTTTTTTTTTTTTTAATGTTTGTCAAGGGCTTGTTGTTGCACCAGGTGAGTCCGAAGTAGTCAGCAGCCCTGGCAGGTAACAGTCCACAGTGATGTAAAAGGCATGGAGACGGCGCAATTACTGGCACGGCACACACAGCGGAGAATCTTAGTCTGATGCTCAGGACCAGCGCCAGGAAGAACAGTTTGTGAGTTTATTTAATCTAGATGGCTGGCTTTGGGAGGGTGGTTTTATCTCATTTTTGCCTAGATTTGTAATCCTGGGAGGCTGAGACAGGCCGGCCTAGCACACTGAATGAGGAGGAGGGATGGAGCGAGCTTCCGCAAGGTGAGGAGGAGGAAGAGTTACGAGGCACAGCTGCGGAGTAGAATGTATTACCCTTCCCTTGTGCAGGATGTGCCCCTGCGTCTCTAGGGAAAGGTGGCCAAGACCGGCTGGCTTGTGTTCCTTCCCCTCTGACACCGCGGGTTTAAAAAAAGCAGAGAAGAATTAGGAGAAACCTACCAACAGCAGAGATTTTAAAAAGGGGAGCGGGGAGGGAGGACTACAGCTGA